AAAGCACAGGGATCAGATGGGTTCACTGGTGAATTCTAAACATTAAGAAAGAAATTATACCAGTTCTTTACAATCTCTTCCAGAAAATAGAAGCCAAGGGAATATGTCCTAACTCATTCCATAAGACCAGCATCACCCTAATACAAAAACTAGAAAAAGGCATAACCAGAAAACAATAGACCAATAGCTCTCATGAACATAAATACAAAAATATTCAATAAAATATTAGCAAACTGAATCCAACCATGCATAAAAAGAGTTATATCTCATAGCCAAGTGGGATTTATCCCAGAAATGCAAGGCTGGTTCAGCATTTGAATACCAATTAATGTAAAACATCATATTAATGGGTTAAAGAAGAAAAATCAGGTGATTATATAAATAAATGCAGAGGAAGCATTTGACAAAATTCAACAGCCTAATAATAAAAACTCTTAGCAAATTAAGGACAGAAAAGAGCTTTCTCAACTGGATAAAGAAAATCTACAAAAACCCTATGGCTAACATTATACCTAAAGGTAAGAAATTCAAAGCTTTCCTGCTAAGATCAGGAACAACGCAAAGATGTCCCCTCTTGCTATTGTTTTTCAAGATCATACTAAAAGACCTAGCAAATGCAATAAGACAAGAAAAGGAAATAAAAGTTATACAGATTCAGGAAGAATCTTTGTCTGAAGATGACATGATTGTCATCCACATTAAAAAAAAAAAAATGAACCTATGAAGTCTGACAATTAAGTTTGCAAACTCATGCTAGAAAAAAGTGCTACATACCTCTTTGCTGACTATCACTATGGTTACCGTTGAAGTACTCCCCCAGGGAAGCTATGCACTGATGCCAGTGCCTCGTCCACCAATCAAAACAATTTTGGAACTCTTTATCTGGAATGGCCTTCAGAGCTGTCGTGAGAATGTCGGAGTTTGAATTAGAGCAACGAACAAACATTAAATTTCCTGTTAAACTTGGCAAGAGTGGAAGTGAAATCAGGGACATGTTAGGCCAAGTTTATGGGGATAATGCCATGAAGAAAACAGCAGTGTACAGATGGATTAAACATTTTTCTGAGGGGACAGAAAGCAGGATGGCCAGTAAAAATCAGAGCTGACAAAAACAGTGCAAACATTTGTTGAATTGTGCATCGAAATTATCAGCTGACTGTGAGAAGCAGAGCAGACCAAATGAACATTGATAGAGAAACAGGAAAATCTTTTTTTTTTTTTTTTTTTTGAGTTGGACTGGAGTGCAGTGGCCACTCCTGGCCACCGCAGCCTCTACCTACTGGGCTCCGGTGATCCTTCCGCCTCAGCCTTCCAAGTAGCTGGAACTACAGGTGTGTGCTAGCAGGCCCGGCTAATTTTTGATTTATTGTGGAGATGAGATCTTGCTAAGTTGCTTGGGTGGGTCTCAAACCGGCAGGCTCAGACAATCCACTCGCCTTATACTCCCGAAGTGCTGGGATTACAGGCTGAGCCACTGAGCCCAGTCAGCAGGAACATCTTAACTGAAAATCTTGGCACATGAGAAAGATGTGTGCAAAAATGGTCCTGAAGGAGCTCTTGCATCACAGAAATGCACCAGCTCACACAGCACTGTGAGCAAGTTTTTAGCCAGTAAACAAATAACTGTATTGGAACACCCTCCCTACTCACCTGATCTGCCCCCCAGTGACTTTTTCTTTACTCAAAGATAAAGGAACTATTGAAAGGAAGACATTTTAATGGCATTCAGGACAACAAAATTAATGCGACGATAGCTGTGATGGCCATTCCAGAAAAAGAGTTCCAAAATTGCTTTGACTAGTGATTGAGGCACTGGCATTGGTGCACAGCTTCCCAAGGGGAGCACTTCAAAGGTGACCACAGTCATATTCAGCAATGAGGTATGAGGCACCTTTTTCTAGGCTGGGCTTGCGAACTTAATTGTCAGCCCTTGTAGACACAGACCTTATACCTTTCACAAAAATAAACTCAGAGTGGATCATAAGCCCATATGTAAAATACTTCCAGAAGATAGAAGCCAAGGGATTATGGCATGGATGCAAAAGTATAAGATAACGTAGGAGAAAACCTAACTGAGCATGAGTATGGCAATGGCTTTTTAGATACAACACCAAAGATATGACCTATGAAAAAAATAACTGATAAGCTAAACTTCATAAAGACTAAAAACTTCTGCTCTGTGAGAGACAATGTCAAGAAATAAGAAGACAAGCCACAGTCTGGGAGAAAATATTTGCAAACAACATATTTGGTAAAGGACTGCCATCCAAAATGCAACAGTAGGAGATGAATAACTCGACTGAAAAATGAGCAAATGATCTGACCTCACCAAGGAAGATATACAAATGAGAAACAAGCATATGAGAAGATGGTCCATACTGCGTGTAATTAAGGAGTTAGAAATTAGAGCAGTGAGATACCACTGCACGCCTACTAGAATGCCAGCATCCAAAACTGATACCACCAAAGGCTGGTGCAGGCGTGGAGCAACAGGAAATTCCATGCATTGCTGATGGGAATGCAAGGTGGTCCAGCCACTTTGGAAGGCAACTTGGCAGTTTCTTACAAAACAAAACCCACCCTCACCACACGATTCAGCAGTGGTTCTGCTTAGTGTTTACTCAAATGATTTGAAAATATATATTCACACAAAAATCTGCACCTGGATGTTTACAACAGCTTTATTCATAGTGCCAAAACTTGGAAGCAGCTACGATGTCCTTCCATAGTTAAATGGATGAATATGCAGATACGTCTGGACAGTGGAATATCATTGGGTGATAAAATAAATGAGCTGGCTAGGGGTAGTGGCTCACGCCTGTAATCCCAGCACTTGGGGAGGTGGAGGCGAGTGGATTGCCTGAGCCCACAGGTTTGAGACCAGTCTGGGCAACTTGGTGAGACCTCATCTTTACAATAAATAAAAAAATTAGTGGGGGGAAGTGGCGCATGTCTGTGGTTCCAGCTACTTGGAAGATTGAGGAGGAAGGGTTTCCTGAGTCCCGCAGGCCAAGGCTGTGGTGGCTGTGATTGGTCACTGCACTCCAGCCTGGGCAACAAGGTGAGACTCTGACTCAAAAAATAAATAAATAAGCAAATGAGCCACCAAGCCATACAGAGGCATGGGAGAAACTTGAATGTGTGTTACTTGGTGAAAGAAGCCAGTCTGAAGGGTTATGAACGATTATAGGATTCCAGATCATTCTGGAAAAAGCAGAACTGTGGAGATAGTGTCAGTGGTTGACAGGGGTTGAGGGGACAGGATGGGGGAACAGGCAGAGCACAGTGGACGTTTTAGGGCAATGAGACGACTCTATATGATGCTACAGGGGTCACTATCCATCTACATCAGTCATTATACATATGTCCAAGCATACAGAATGTACAGCACGAAGAGTGAACCCTCTCATGACCTGTGGACTTTGGTGACAATGAGATGTCAGTGAAGGGTCATCAGTTGTAACAAATGTACCATCTGGCGCAGATGTCCACGGTGGGGGAGAGTGTGAATGGGGACAGGGCATATGGGCTTTCTGCTCAATTTTGCTGCAAACTTAAAACATCTCTTAAAAGAGGCTCAGGCACTCCACTCGCCTCTTTATGTATTAACTACATAAAGAGACCAGAAAGATGAGTCCTGAGAGCCTGATGACACTTCTGGCCTGGCCCCTCCTCAGATGCAACTCCCCCTCGCCCCTCCTTCCTGTCTCTTGGCCCTGACCCATCCACAACTGCCCCCACCCTTTTTTTTAGTTCAGGTCTCTCTCTGTCACCCAGGCTGGAGTACAGCTTACCACAGCCTCAACCTCCTGGGCTCAGGTGATGCTCTCACCTCGGCCTCCCGAGTAGCTGGGACTATAGGCACTTGCCGCCACGCCCGGCTTTTTTGACTTTTTATAGAGATGAGGTCTTGCTATGTTGCCCAGGCTGGTCTTGAACTCCTGGACTCAAGTGATCCTCCCACCTGGGCCTCCCAAAGTACTGGGATGACAGCCGTGAGTCCCTGTGCCCGGCCCTGCCTACCCTTCCTAATCCCATCTCCAGGCCTGGGCACCCCCTCCTCGGCCCCTCCCAAGGCTTGGCAGGCTCTGGAGGGTCTGGAGGCTGAGCTTTCACTTGGTGGGGAACTCGGTCCAGCCTCCCCGCAGCCTCCCCACGCCCCCGCCCAGGCTCCCTCTCCCCACACTCCAACCCCTTCCTTCCTCGCTGCCTTTTCTCCTCTGCCAGAAGCCGCCTACACCGCCCAGCCTCCAGGCCTCCAAGGCCAGACTCCAGACATGGGAGGTGTGTGCATGTTTTGTACAGGTGACTGGGTCACAGGTACACACATGTGCATGAACGTGTGTGAAGCATATTTGGGTGTGTGGGTGAGTGCCTGAATGTGTGATGGGCCAGGCAGCTGGTAGAGTGTGTGTGTACAAGCGTGTGCGTGCAAGTGACTGTCCCTTGCATTTCGAGGTCCCTCTAGCCCCAGGCTGTGCCCCAGGGAGGACGGTTACTTAGGCTTCACTTATCACCTCCTTCGAGGCTCCATCCCTCCCCCAAGCCAGGAAGGGAGGGAGGGAGGGAGCAGGAAGAGGCCCCTCAGACTGATTTTCTTCCTGCCCAACCCCACCCCCGGAGGCCATCTCCTCAGAGGACCCCCGTGTGTCCCTGGCTTCAGGAGAAGGAAGCTCCATTTCATGGTCTAAGAAATAGCCGCCTCAGGGCAGGCACTGAGGCCCAAGATCAGCCGTGGATGCTTCTGCTGGCCCAGAGGCCTGGCTGGGTGGGAGTCAGCGTGACTGCCCTGGAGAGTGGGCAGAGGGACAGAAGGCTGGGACAGGGCGGAGCTGTCCTCTGGGGGCAAGTGAGGCTGAGGCAGCTAAGACGTGGGGTAGGGGAGAATCCCTAAAAACAGATCAGGACGCGGTGACCAGGTGAGCTCCCTGGTCCAGGAGCGCTTACACAAATGTTCTGAACCGAGGGCCGACACTGGAGGCTTTACTAGCTTTGTCTAGTCATTTCTCTGGGGTGGTGGGAGTTGACAGCTTAAAATGGATTTTCAGCAACAATGGATTTCCTTTCTTGGTTCCCAGGACCGAGCTGCAACACAAAAGAGAGAGTATCACTTGGGCCCTGGGGGCTGGGAACAGGGGTGAGCCCAGAGTTCCCTCAGAGAGGTCCCTGGGGGAGGGCCTTCTGCTGCGACCAGCTGGGTGGCTGGTGTTCTGTGTTCACTCACCTCCAGAAAGCTGTTCCCTCGTTCCCCCTCATCAGAGCACCCTGGACCTCAGGGCCGGTGGCAGGACCCTACAGGGCATTTCCCACCTGGTGGGAAGCGTCCCAGTGCCAGCGCAGCCCTTCCCTTCCCGATCCCAGCTCCTCACCCTGCCCGGAGCCTCACCCAGTGTTCCCCAGCCCTGTCCTCAGCGCTGCACCTTGGCCCTCCAGAACCTTGTTCCAGCAGCCATTGGGAGGTCACTGAGCGGAGACATCCCTCGCCTGCTCCCCCAGCCCCTCATTCTGCTGTTCTCGCCCTACCCGACTGGGTGAGGCGTCCCCCATCCCGCACAGCCCCTCCTGGGGAGCTGCAGGCTGGGTTTAACTCACTCCTTCTCGGCTCCCTGCGGCTGGGGGGACAAGACAGGGGGCTGGAGAAGCTGCACCTCCCCCTTGATGGTGGCTCTCTTGATGCCTGGCTTGCTGAAGTCAGGGCAAAGGCAAGGTAAGTCCCTGCCTTCCGGACCCCAGGCCTTCTGCAGGTCCCTGACTTCCAGCCATCTTGCTGACAGCACCTCTGTGGACTTTTCTGGCTCCTGCTGGCCTGCAGTGGGCCGGACGGGCCCTGTGGAAGGCACCGTGGCCTTCAGAGCAGGAGCTTTGGTCATGCACTCCAGGCTGGGCAAGTCCATTTTCCTGGAGGAGGCCATGGCCAGGGAGGATGCAAAGTTGATGACCTCTGCCAGGCCAAGAGCCAGCGGGAGGCCGGAGGACGGCAGGCAGGGGCTCCGTGGCAGCTGGGAGCTGGCGGCTGGGGGCGCTGGGTGGGCCTGGGGCTGCCCGCTGGGGCACAGGATGCGGGTGGAGACCCGGCCTGGGGGACTGGTGGGAGGGTTGGCAGTGCCGCTGCGGAGCCGTGAGTGTGCGGCCAGCTGCAGGCTGTGCTCCGAGGCCTGGACGAGCTTGTCTGCCCAGAAGAGGTGCTGGGAGGTCTGAACATGGACGGAGCGGACGTCGCCGGCCCCCGGGCTCTCCATGATGCCTGGTTGGACGTTCTCCTGCACGGAGGGGTGGGTGGGCTCTGTCCTGGGCTCTGGCTGCCAGGAGTCTTTGTGGGATTCCTCATTCTCCGTGGGCTCCGTGGGTTCCATCTCCATGTCTGGGTCCTGGTCCTGTTTTGGGTCTGGGTGTGGGTCTGGGTCTGGGTCCGGGTTGGTTTGAGGTGGGGTCTCCTGCTCTAGGGTTTCTGCCTCCAGCTGAAAGGCTTTGACTCAAAGCTGAGGAGGCAGGAGCTGGCGGTACCCTGGGGTCCTCCCTGGCATGGAGCCCCCACCCCACCCCTGCCCCGGGCCTGCACTTTCTCCACGTGGTGGGGGTGCACAGGCCCTGTACTTGGTCCGAGGATTGCCAAGGGGAGGGGCTGGTGGGGATTTGGGGAGGAGCCCTGCCCCCCAGGAGCCCCTCCCATTTCTACCTCTGTCTTCTGTGCTTCCTGTACCTTTGGGAGGTGGGGCTGGTGTTGTCCTAAGTTGTCCCTGAGACGGAAGGAGACAGAGTGGGGGATAGGGACACCGGGAGGTGGCTTTGAGGGGGTCTTTGGTGCGCTCAGAGTCTCCTGCCTTTAACGGGGGGGTGGGTAGGATGGCCCCAGCATGTCAGCTCCTCTGACTGTCTCCACCCCCTTCTAGGAGACAGAACGGCGTTCTCTGAGCCTGGGAGGCTCCTGCCACCACACCCCCACCCCGGAGAGGGGTCCAGCTGGGAGGAGGTAAGGCCTGGGAATCTCCATTCTTCCCAAGCATTGCAGGTGAGTCTGGAAGGTGGTTTCTTATGGGGTGGGGGGAGCTGGGAGCCATGTCTCCCCACCATTCCCCGCCACGGCTGTGTCCCCAGCACACTAGCTAAGGGCTCAGGTCCCTCCCAAGTCCCTGGGTGTTCCTAGGTGTCCCATCACCCCTCAGACCTCCTTCAGTGTCAGGGCTGAGGGCAGAAGCGGGAGGGGGATGGTGGATACTCCTCCCCCCTTCCCCCTCCCCCCCTTTTGGCCTGGATCCTGCCTGGAGGGAGGGTTGGGAGTGGGCAGAATGGGGGGAGAGGGTCCTAGGCTGCGGGCTACACGGTGCTGGGGCGAGGTTGGGGGGCCTGGAGGCGAGGTGGAGGCCCTAGGATGATGGGGGCTGGTTCTCACCGGGTTTCCACAATCTCTACCGACTCTTTGCCACAGCAGGGAAATCCCTGGGGACCTGGCAGGGAGAGGGAGGAGGCAGGAGCTGTGGGGGCCGTCCCTGTGGGGGCTGCTCCAGCCACCCCC